TCCTTTTGCTTTCCTAATGAAATGTGCAAGTAATTAACCACCGACACTGACACAGTGCAGAAATTACATATACTTATTAACTAAACAAAAATTAAAATGTTCAATTAATTTCTGAGACTTCAAATAGYTGTGCACGTCTGCAAGCACCTCCTGAAGGACCAGCACTTCCTTTGTCTARGCTGATGAGTACATTCATCCCTCATGAGCATTGCACAAACACCCTCCTCACAAGCATCCACCAAAATCCTTGGTCTGCAGTTTCTCCTGTTGTTGTCTCTTGGGTCCAATCCTCACTAATTCCAGTGGTTTTGGTGAAGTTAACCTTAGTTCTTGGATAGCCTCTGAACTTCAAAGATTTCAGCCTCAAAGGCAGTCTTCACCTGTTCCTCTCCCTCACTCTTCAGCTCCAATTTTTCACAAATCTCTCCACTTTGAGGTTCTTCTGCCCTGTCAGCTGTGTTRGGGAAGAGCAATACAATTCAAATTCCCACCATGCAGATTCCCAACAGGCCTCCTCTACATGGAAAACAAAACAAAAAAATGTGCTTCAAACCCATTTATTTCCCCTCCTTTTTTGTTCATGCCTATTGCTTTAACACACAGGGCATGTTCAGGAGTTTCCTATTCTGCTTCCCTGCAGTGTATGATCTCTAACTTACCTGCATAGTTTGAAATGACCTTGTATCTAACAAAGCAGCACAATTTTACCTGGTTCCCTTGACAAAGCTCCACAGTTATCTGCAAGTCACCTGCTGATTCCCCACAGATAATTCCAGCCTCTCTCAAGACATGCCCACACCCCTGTCTGCCAGGGAATTCACAGTATGCAGCCTTTCTTCAACCTTCAGGTCTCTGTGGAGAGTTCCTCGTAATCCAAACACCTTTATTCTCCTCTTTGCTCTCCCTTGCTTACAGGGAGGTTTCTGACAGAGAAYCTCAGCGAAGTCACTAAATATAATTGGAAATAAACCCAAGTATGTTAACCTTGGGGCAGGACTCAGAAGTCTGCATTCATTCCCAAGTTTCATAAGGTTCACACAGAAAATATCAAATAATTTAAACTGCTCATGCTTAAATCCTTAAACAAAAAATTTCTTTTCCCCACAACTTCCCAAGAGCATCATTAGGAGAAAAATCATTGCATTTTGCCAGACTCTTGGTTCTTAATGTAGGTCACAAAGTACGTAAATAAGAATTGATTATGAAAGGCAGGAAGTTAAAACAGTCCATATGTGGCTAATATTGCTACTGAAACCTAAACTTCTGCATTTCCTGCCATTGTGACTTTAATTATGAAATCGTAAAGTTCCACTAAGATAACTGCCATGTTTAGTTTCCTAGCTGTCTTTAGGGGAAATATTAAAGAGAATAAAAACAAAACAAAAAACAACAA